CTCATATTATAGTCGAAAAAAATGTATAAGTAGAAAAACGTCTTATTGGTCAATTAAATGTGACTAATTTTGTTTAGTATGTTTTTTATGACTTTAAATTCCCAATAAATTTATTAATTATAAATAATATTTTTTGTATTTTACCATAAATTTATAAATTAGTGTCTTAAAAAAAAAGTTTTAAATTTAATCTAATTTTTAAACTTTTTTTCTTAATTTTATAAATTAAGAAATAAAAAAAAATTACCTAAAACTACTAAATGGCTTATATGATTAATGTTTCTAGAGAAATCATTTCAATAATTTTCTTGCAACTCGCTTATAATATAATTAATGCTTTCACTTTAAAATATTCACTTTTAAATCACATTATTTTATTTAATTTCCCTCCAAAAAAGTAATATCTTTTCTTTTTTATTTAATAATAAAAAAAACTAAAAAAGGAATAAAGGAAGAATGGTAAAAAAAAAAAAAAAAAAAAAAAAAAAAAATTAAAATAATAAAAACCGATGATATTTAAAATTAATTCCATAATTAAGGTGGACCCAAACTCTCACTTTAGCTTACCAAGAAAGAAAGGAATATATTAATTTGTTTTCATCCATTAAAATTTTGTAATTTATTTACCAAAATAATTATTTAATTGATAATAATCCACTAAACTCGTGGCTAGCCCATATTGTCATATTTATAGTAGAATGTGAGATCTCTTCGTCCACTCTCTCGGAACCTAACATCCTCACTGACACTCGTACATCTCCTCAATAGATGTGGGATCTCACACAAACCATAAAATTTCCAATTGTACTCAGCTAGGTGGCATTGTATCGAGACTGTCCCTCTCATTAAGGAGATTTCTTATGTTTCCTCACTTGCTTCATGTTGGAAAATTCCTCTATATTAACCTCGAAATGACATCACAATACTGCCGGTCCAAAATGATATAACTAAATGATTGTCGCATAAATCTTAAAATTTATGTAATAAAATAGAGGAACGAGTCCAAGAGACTTGAATGAGACTCGGCTTAATCAATAAAGGGAGAGTGACAAAGAAACTCGATCAACTATTAGAGACAAACAAGAATGAGGGATGCATTTAACAAACATACCAATAAGAGGAATGCCCACATTTTGTTTTTTGCTTCCTCTTTCGTTTTCACTTCTAAATCGGAGAAAACAAGATGTCTAAGAGTATCTTGTAAACAAATTATTCGATCTAGGAAGCGAACACAAACATAATATTTACACAAACATATAATCAAATTATGCTAGAATGGTTAATTAAGAGGCGGTGGCGAGGCAAAGGGAGTGATGTTGAAATTCTTGCAGGGACTGGGCGGCAGGCTGCAGTTGCTTGATGCAGCAGCCAGGCGCTGCGCAAACCCCTCGATTCTTTCTTCGTTTGTCTCCATCAACAAGCGCTTCCCGCCAAACGGAACCGATTCTGAGCCCTTTTCTTTCAGCAAATCTTCTACCAATCCCTTCTTCTTCAAATCATTCACCTGAATCCTTACATAGTCGCCTCGATTCCAACAAAATGCATTGCCCAACATCTGATCTATGGTTTCGGACACTCCATCCATCGCAATATCGACAATCCAAGAAGGCGAACACTCCCCGTTTCGGCTGAGATTTCTTCCGCGCGATAAGCTTGAAGGTCCATTGCCCAATGACAAAACCAGGAGATCCTCCACGCTATTCACCAACGGGAAATCCTGTTTATTGTGGAGTACGTGAGTGACGGCCACGGCCGTCGGATTGTTCATTACCAAACCACCGTCGATTGCAGAGCATGAGGTTTTTCCGTCGATGGAGGTCAGATTAAACGGTTTGAAGAGATTCGGCGTCGCGGACGTTGCGCGGCAGACCTTCCAAAGCTCGAAGTTAAAGCTCGGCGACTCGGAAGCGTCGGCTCTGGAAAACACAAATGGAGCAGAGCTCTTTAGATCAAAGCAGGGAATCAGAAGAGGCTTACACACGTCCTTAAGCGTTAATGGCTTCCCATCGCCATTTCGAAAAGCTTCCTTTAGGACTTTATCCATGGATTTAGCAGAGAACAATCGGCGTCGGGAAAACACCCCTGCATTCTTCATCTTGAACATCTCGGATTTCCTCTCGGAAAGGAAATCCACGGCATCCTTAGCAGTGAAAAGCGAGCGGCCGAATCCATCATCGGCGACGAGCATTGAAGCGAGAATAGCGCCAATACCAGTACCAGCAAGGAGGTCGAAATAATCGGCGATTCGAGCGTGGGGATTGGCGGTTTTGATGCGGATCTGGTCCTCTAAGTAGAGAAGAGAGGCGCCGGCTACAAGGGCGGTGGTTCCGCCGCCATCGATGGTAAGAATCCGAGTTTTGTGGGAGTTTTGGCACTGGGAAAGCCATTTCTGTTCGAGATTGGAGAAGATCTGGAGAGTGACGTTGCCGAGCTCCATTGGAGATGGAAATTGTTAAGGAACGTTTAGCAATTTTGGGTGAAGTGAAGGAGCATGAGTAATGAGTAATGGAAGCAAGGGAATGAAATAGTGAAGACTGAAGAAGAAGAAAGTGGGAGGAGGCGTTGCTGCGCTCCTGGTGGTGCCGGTGGCTGCTGCTTATATATTATATATTTTTTAAAAATTATTTATATAATGCCACAACCTATGATTGAGTGACCTGAGCAACCTGTGCAGAGTTCACAATTGACCCTAACTAGATCAGTTGAGTTAGGTTGTAAATGTAACCGAACCCAACTTTTACCAATTATTTGGTTAAATAATTCTCAGTAGATCACTCAATATTAAATTGTTCCGAGCAAAACACACTCAACAGTTATATATAATTTCATTTTCTTTTAAATTTTTCTTAATCATCTTAGTCACTACTCAATATTAAATTGTTCTAAGCAAAACACACTCAACCGTTATTATAACTTTAATTTCTTTTAAATTTTTTTTAATTATCTTATTTTTATAATCGCTCTAATTTTCATATGTTATTGATTCAATTACTCAATTTTTGATATGCTCCCAAAATATTTATTAAAGAAAAAACAGTGTGATCAAAGGAGGAGAATCATCGTAAATAAATAAAATAAAATAAAATAAAAAACAAAAGAAAAAGAATAAATAAAGTGGTGAAGATAAGTATTTTCTTTTTTGTTGCACCTTGCCATAAGTGATAAAAATGCAAATAATTTTATTAATTAATAAAAGCCTATTAGTAATAGACTTTATTCTTGTCTTTCCTAAACCACGAGTAAGGCTCGAGCATGAATAAGACGAAGCCCTTTCCTTTTCTTAGGGAGTCATGCTTGTTAGGATCGCACAACCACCCATATCTAGATGAACACAAAAAACAGGATACTTTCTATTCTATTTTGGTGACAAGGTAATAACACTTTTCAACGGGATTGTTCTATTCAGACCCTTTTCTGTTCAAGTAATTCTATGGCTGGGAGAAACTCCTTTCACACAAAAAGAGTCGACCCATCAACTTTGATCCAACGAGCTAAGCTCAAAGGCTAGGCCTCATACTCAACTATGAAAAGTTGGATTGGCTTGGTTTAGACCCAAGTAGTGCCTTGGGTCCTATCAAATTGGGGTTGGTTCGAGCATGATTCTACAGTTTTTAGGATCGGATCGACCCAACTCGATGTACAAACAAGAAAGAAACAAATTAGGTAAGAAAATGGAAAGAAGATGAAGGGCATTCTCATATGATACTACAAACAAGAAACAACAACATTAGAGGTGAGTCCAGCATTCAGAGTAGAAGTAGTGGTGGAGAGTCTGAAACATAGAAATTCAAACACACACAGAGTAGAAGGCAACGGCATAAGCAGCCAGAGGGAGGCAGAGCAGCGAGTAGTAAGAGAGAGTGGAGGCAGCGCTTGGCGGCGGAGCAAGAGCCGAGGGTGTGCCCAATGGTGCAGGCCCATTGGGTAGTGGGCTTTGGCTTGGGGCTGACGACGGAGCAAGCAGCGCGGAGGATGAACCTGGGTCGACCTTGATTTCCACCTTCTGACCCAATTGACAGTGCCCCGGGATGCCACACAGGAAGTAGAACGTTCCAGGCCTCTTCAAAGTGATGGAGTCTGCGCCGGAGGTGTACGACGCCGCCGGAGAAGATGAGTTGCAGGACTTAAACTGCTCTTGGTCCACTTGCAAGACATTGTGGAACTTGTTGTTGTAGTTGAACACTGCAGTCCCAAATTAAGTTATATTCCTTAATTGTAAACTTAATTGGAAACTCACGATCCTTCTCTAAATTAGTCGTACCAATGTATTAGTCGTGCCATGTTCCATGGAATTAGAACACATAACTAAGTTAAAGGCATGCCTAAGATCCGATGTATTTCTTACCTATAAACTCACGATCATTTCTTAAATTAACCAACATAGGACTCTTTCCTAACAATCCATCCGACCATCCACCCACAGAGCACAAATTCAAAGAGAGTGTTAAGAAATTAGGGAGAGGAGCTTACAGAGGGAGTCGCCGACACGGAATTTGTTGGAAGAAGCCCACTTAGCATAATCGAAGGGGACGAGAGTGGTCCAGCCAGTAGAGTCGCCGACTTTGTGGACCGTAGCCACCGCCGACACTGTAAACAGCCCCATTGTGCAGATCCACAGCAGCGGCCAACCCACCTTCTTCCCCAAACCCATGCCTAGAGAGAGAAAGAGAGAGTTAGAGAGAAAAGAAATTGTGGCTGTTGAGAGAGAATTGTGAGTGGGAGCAGAAATATCTAGAAATTCCTCTTTCTTATTGAAGCTGGAAGCGGTCAAACAAAGCTCAGACGGAATTTACCTTGTTCCGGTAAAAAGTTAATTTATGTCCTAATACTTATGGTAAACCAGCTATTGCCACCTATAACAGCATTATTAACTGTCGTTTAAATTTATATCTCGAGAGAATTACCTGATCTACCGCATATTTAAATGATTTAGTCTTTTAAATTTATATTATGAGAATATTGGGGGACGGGTAGATAATAGAGAGATTAGTTTTTTCACTCCCTAACCTTGATAAGTATTTGTTCTGTCCAGTCACGGAATACTGTATTCGTCGCATCCAAACACCCTTCGCTGATGCCAAAATTTCTAAATCAATTTCTTATCCACCAGCTGTCAAGGATTTGAATTTGGCCCAGCCGCGATCTGCTACTCATCGTTTAACCACTTCCGCCTTATCATCTCGGATTCGTGCGTTTACGCTGCCATAGCGGCGCTTTTCTCCTCCGCCACCACTGTCCGCTCCGTCCTACGCCTCCCTAAGTCCTTTCTTTCAATCCGAGGTTCGTCTCTCTTCAACTCAGAATTGGTTTCTCTTTCGACATTTCTGTTGATTTGTTTATTGATGATTTCTTCTTCCCACAATGGGCCTCATTCTAGGGTTTAATTTCTATTTTTTGCATTATTTAACACTTATCGTCTTAATTTCATGTAAAAACTGTTAAAAAGGATATTTAGTTTACAGTATATTTCATATTTGTTCTCCTTTACTTATGGTTTACTGTATATTGTATCCATTTACTGCTCTCCATTTCTTTTGTCGTTTATATAGAGAATTTTATTACCATTTAGGTGCGGTCGTTTTGACATATATTCTAAAAAATTTGAGGAGAGAGTCCTAGACTAATTTAGGGAATGCTCATAGATATTATCTCTATTGGTACGAGGTCTTTTGGGGAAACCAAAAGCAAACCCATGAGTATCCCACATTGTGAAAGTATTGTCTAGTGTTTTGACATTATTGTGAAAGTAGCTGTGATGTCCCACATGGGTTGGGGAGGTGGTGTGCTAGTAAGAACGCTAGCCCCGAAGGGAGGTGGACTGTGATGTCCTATATTGGTTGGGGAGGAGAACAAAACACCATTTATAAGAGTGTGGACACCTTCTCCTTGTAGACGCATTTTAAAGCCCTGAAGGGAAGCTCGAAAGGGAAAGTCCAAATAGGACAATATTTGCTAGCGGTGGATCTGGGCCGTTACAGTAGTAGCACTCTACAATGATTGAGGATTTTTGGGAGGGAGTCTCACATTGGTTAATTTAGTGAATGATCATGAGTTTATAAGTAAGGAATACATTTCCAGTGGTACGAGCCCTTTTGAGAAAACCAAAGTAAAACCATGAGAGCTTATGCTGAAAGTAGACAACATCATACCATTATGAAGAGTCATGATTCCTAACAAATACACACATAACATATATCTATTATTACAAAAATATAAAGGAAATCCAACACTTAATAAATTTAAATTTCCATTTTGCATCATTTTTTAACTTTGTCCTTGCCGTGTTTGTGTTCTAGATTTGTAAAAAATGACGCTTCATGTTGTATTTATATCCATGCTTATTGGATACATTTCTTTTGAGATTATGATTTCTAGATTTAATGCAAATTCGTAAGGTTTAGTCTCAATATGTAAATGTGTTTGACACTAATGGAATGTTGTTACACATTGTTAGCATTTGATGTGGATGATAAAGCCAGTACACACTTTTTCATTGGATTTAATGCTTAAGCCGCTACTGATATGTTAGGATCGCACAACAACGCGCACACTCGATCAACATAACACAAAAGAATAGAGAGAAAATTCAAAAAGGAATATTGGTTAAAGATTTTAGTGATGATTTCAGGTATGTACACCAACCAACAGAATCAACAAAGTACATTTTGAAAACACTGCCTGGTATATATATGGTTTCCGTTTACTAAATATAGCTTTAACAGAATTAAACACGTACAAATAATAATCTACTATATATATAGTAATAATTTACTATATATATATATCAGCTTTGTACGAAATATCTATCAGATATATCTCTACCTAATCTTTTAGGCGAGGTGTTTACTGGTGGCAGTGAAATATAAGAAGAGATGCTTTGAAAGCGTATGAAAAACTGGAAAAGGTCAGCAAAGCTTACATCTGATAACCTAATCGTGTGGTGCTTTTCTTCTGATTTAAAGTTTTATTGATCTGCCTTCCCAAGACCAAGCTCCTTTATCCTTAAATGTTTTTATCATTCGTGTCAGGAGAAAAAACTTCGGGAAGATAATGTGAGAGACTTGTCAAGTGACGTTGCAGGTTCGTTGTTGCATATCTTAACTCACTTAGTTAAGAGCTTTTGGTTCTACATCACTTATTTTCAATTAATATTCAAGTAGCTTCACACGTAAGATTAGAGAAGAACTGAGGAGGTGGTGTGAGATCCCACTTAGATCCCACTTCGGTTGGGGAGGAGAGCAAACCATTCTTTATAAGAGTGTGGAAACCTCTCCCTAGCAAACATGTTTTAAAAACCTTGAGGGAAAGCTCGAAAAGAAAAGCTCAAACCTAAAAAGGACAATATTTGCTGGCGGTGGGCTTGAACGGTTACAGATGGTATTAGTGTCAGACACGGGGCGTGTTAGGATCTTACAACAACGCACACACTCGATCTAGATGAACACAAAGAACAGGATAGAGAAAATGCAAGGAGAACTCTGTAAGAGAGAATAAGAGAGAATTAAGAGAAAATACAGAGAGTACATTTTCAAAGCTCTAAAAGTACATTTTCAAAGCTCTGATAGTACATTTTCAAAACTCTGATAGTACATCCTCAAAACTCTGATAGTACATCCTCAAAACTCTGATAGTACATCCTCAAAACTCTGCAGAGGGGATATATATATGGTTTAGCTTACTATATTTAGCTTTACCAGATATAGCTTTTTACTATACATAGCTATTTACTATTTATGACAATTTACTTTATATGTCATTTACCAAATATAGCTTTACTATGTATAACCGTTGACTCAGCTATAAATAAGTCCAATAAGTCGCAGGCTCCATAACCCAACAATTCTCCCACTTGGATACCGATCAAGTCAACCAAGAATATCTTCACTGCATCATACCAATTGAGGTTTTGCACAACTTCAATATTCCAACATCAACACATTTTGTCAACATGTTTGCTGGATTCTTTGCACCCTCTATCTTTTCAAAACACATCACCATCTTCCACTAACTTGCAACTGAAATGATATCACCTTTCGTGTTTAATCTTTAAATGATAGATCGGGTTCCTCACCAACTGTATGACACTCTGACTATCTCTATAAAGAATCTTTTCGTGTTGCTTCTTACCCAATTTTTCCAGATAGTCAGTCATCCATATCGTCTTATTTCCAGCTTCAGCTATTGCCACGTACTCAGCCTCAGTACAACGCATTTTTGAAGCCTAGACGTCCCTCAGTAGTAGTCTCAGGAGTTTCTTGAGTATCTGCTACAAGATCACTAGGTGATTTTCTCCGCAACTCAACCTCAACTCCCACTTGTTTTGTTGTCTTGGAACCTTGCTCCACATCTAGTTCCTCAGCAGTAGTCTCAGGAGTTTTTTGAGTATCTGCTACAACATCACTAGGTGAGCTTCCCTGCAACTCAAGCTCAACTCTCACTTGCTTCGTGGTCTTGGAACCTTGCTCCACATCTGGCTCCTCAGTAGTAGTCTCAGGAGTTTCATGAGTATTTGCTACAACATCACTAAGTGAGTTTTCCTGCAACTCAAACTCAACTCTCACATGCTTTTGTCGAACCTTGCTCCACATCTGGGTCCTCAGCAGTAGTCTCAGGAGTTTCATGAGTATATGCTACACAACATCATTAAGTGAGTTTTCCTGCAACGCAAGCTCTCAACTCCCACTTGCTTCGTCGAACCTTGCTCCACATCTGGTTCCATTTCCAACCGTATTTTCTTCAATTCTCTGGTAGTCCTTGTGAAGCTAACTCGTTTCTGCTTGCTCATAACGTAGTTCTCACAATGACCCACATCAACAGATTTCAGACCTTCTAAAACTCCTTTCGCAGCCAGCGTCTTCATTCCTTTCACGTTCATATTTCCAAGTTTGTTGCATAACCTGTTGCATAATCTTCCACGAATTCTTCCCTAACTTTGTTGCATAACCTGTGCTGTCCAACTGACCAATAGAGATCAGATTCTTCTTAAGACCAGGAATATATCTGACATCCTTTAATATCCACCGATTTCTTGCCGGAGTTTTTATACAGACATCTCATTTTTCTTTAATCTCCAAATCTTTGTTGTCGGCAAGATACACCTTCTCAAGATTTCCAGACTTGAAATTCCGGAACAACTCTTTATGGAGACGAATGAAAGATGCACCTGAATCCAAAATCCAGGATTCAATCGAACTGTCCATGCTGAGGATTAGAGTATCCCCAATGTCTTCTACTGAATTTATAGAATCATCATCATCTCCAGATTTGTGATTCTGCTTCCTCTTTGGTCTTGTACAACTTGTTCGAAAGTGATATTTTTCTCCACAATTCCAACACGTTACATTTGGTCTATTTGGAGATTTTTCTCGGTTCTTTGATTTTGATCGCCCTTTGTTTGGGCCCTTCGGTTTACTTCTTCCCCGTTGGTCAACACTGAGAGCATTACCAAATGAATTTCCAATTTCTCGTTTGCGAATACTTTCGCTGAGAACTACATCTCGAATTTCATCAAACTTCAGTTTATTAGATTCTCGTGAACTGCTAATTGCGGCAACAACAGTATCCCACGACTCAGGTAAAGATGACATCAAAATCAATGCTTTAATTTTATCCTCGAAATTAATTTCCACCGATCTCAGTTGACTTGCGATTGAATTCATTTATATGATCAACAATAGATCCACCTTCAGACATCTGTAGATTGAACAATCTCCGCATCAAATACACCTTGTTCATAACCGATGGCTTTTCGTACATATTCGATAGCGCCTTTAACAGATCTGACGTTGTCTTCTCCTTGATGATATTGAACGTCACGTTTCTGGATAGCGTCAACCGGATCAGTCCTAAGGCTTGTCGATCCTTGAGCTTCCACTGCTCCGTGGTCATGGTATCCGGCATCACCCCCAACAAGGGTTCGTGAAGACCTTTCTGATACAGATAATCTTCAATCTGCATTTTCAAGAAACCGAAATTGGATCCATCGAACTTCTCAATTCCAATCTTTGAACTTTTCATCTTCATAGATCGTGGTGACTTTCGCCTAGCTCTGATACCAGTTGTTATGATCTCACACTCGATTTAGATGAACACAAAGAACAGGATAGAGAAAATGTAAGGAGAACTCTGGCTAAAGAATTTATATTGATGACTTCAAGTATGTACAGTAAGAGAGAATACAAAGAATAAGAAAGTACATTTTCAAAGCGAGCGATATATATATGGTTTAGCTTATTATATTTAGTTTTACCATATATAAAATAAGAAAGTACATTTTCAAAGCGAGGGATATATATATGGTTTAGCTTATTATATTTAGCTTCACCAGATATAATCATCTACTCAATATAACTATTTACCATGTATAGGTTTACTAGATATAGCTTTTTACTATACATAGTTATTTATTATTTATGACAATTTACTTTATATGTCATTTACCAAATATAGTTTTACTATGTATAACCGTTGACTCATAAGCGTTGACTCAGCTATAAATAAGCAGCATGCTCTTCCATAATCCAACAGGGCAGTGTGCCAGTAAGGACGTTGGGCCCCGAAGGGGGGTGAATTGGAGAGGAGAACGAGTGTCAGTGAGGACGCTGGGACCCGAAGAATGGTGGATTGTGAGATCGCACATCGATTGAGAAGGAGAACTAAACATTATTTGTGAGATGTTTGAAGAAGGTGGATGGCATATACAAACAGAAAGAGAAGGTATAATGAACTCCTTTTTGGTATCATAACTATTATTAAAGCCTTCAAGTTCACTGATGATATTAAGTATTTGCAAGATCACTGAAGAACCCATTTGATTAGGCAGCCACTATTATGTTGGTACCATAATCATAATAATCAACATGCATTTGCATTGTATTGTATTTCAGGAGCGGTTGAAGCGGTGAGACCAGGTGCGTTGCGTTCAAAAGGCATAGTTTTCATATATTGTGACTTGGAATAAACAATAGATTACTTACCGTGTGTGGACCAAATAAATACGAAAATGAAATAGAAAGTAGAAACTTGCTGGTATGAAAGGTAAGAGTTTTGCTGTTTTGATCGTAACCAAAAAACGTCCTAATTTATGAGCGGGTAGACAAAGAGAATTAGTAGTCACAATGTAACAAAGTAAGGATTCCTTAAGTAATAAAATCGAAACTTAATTGAAAATAGTGTAATTCATGAACTTATTTTAATTCTTTCATATAAAAATTATTGGTTCATTTGAAACATTTAATTGTAAGATATAATATTCTAAAAATTGTTTAAATGTTTTGTTTTTGTTTTTTTTTTTTTTTTTTTTTT